TGTAACAGTCAGCGTGTGCAGGTGGAGGTGGAGGAGTCGAGTGGCGACGGGCACATCCACAGTCTGGACCCTCAGCTGGAGCGGCAGGTGGAGATCGTCAGGAACCTGGTGGACTCGTACCTTGCCATCATCCACCGCACCATCAGGGACCTGATCCCCAAGACCATCATGCACCTGATGGTCAACAATGTACGACACACACACGCACACGAGGCCATACAGGAAGTCATGTGGTGAGTCACGTGACCTCCTCTCTGCTCCTCAGACGAAGGACTTCATCCACGCTGACCTGCTGGCTCACCTGTACTCTTGTGGAGACCAGAACACCCTGATGGAGGAGTCCCAGGAACAGGTGAGGCAGTAGGCGGACAGGTGGAGGTGGGAGGGGCTTGGGTTTTAAGCCAATCAGACTCTGACTCTGCTTCTTCCTGCTCTCGTCCAGGCTCAGCACCGCGACGAGATGCTCAGGATGTACCACGCGCTGCGCGAGGGCCTTGGCATCATCGGTGACATCAGCACCTCCACCATCACCACAGCGATGCCTCCGCCTGTTGACGACTCGTGGCTGCAGGTGACGGGGATGCCGTCAGGACGCAGGTATGCCGCTAACAGATGGGCCGTGCTGCGTAACAGACCAGGGCGGCGTCACTGACACTCGGCTGGTCTCTGCAGGTCCCCCATGTCCAGTCCGACCCCCCAGCGCCGGGCCCCTCCTGGCCCTCCTCGTCCAGGTGGTCGTGCCGCCCCCTCCCGTCCGGCGGTGTCACCTGATCCTGGACCCCCACCCTCTATCCCCTCACGACCCAACAGAGCGCCACCACCTGGAGTTCCCAGGTAACGCCCCTCCTACTCCGTGTTTATAACAGGAAACCTGAGGTCACAGAGGTCAGGTGATCAGCAGCACGGTCACAGGCTCCTAGCGTGTGCTGAGTTCAAATGCAGTCAGGACAGGTGAGTTTCTGGAGGCAGACTGTACATAAAAGATGAAAGGAGCCTGTGATGTCACATGGTCTCTCACAGTAACGTCACAGCAGCAGTGTTATTGGTCACGTCATTAAAAAAGCTCCAGCAGCAGCACACGGTCCACAGGTCCAGTTCAGGGACATGAGCTGAAGCCCAGCAGACAGCCATCAGCTGCAGCCACCTGTCTCATCATCCACCTGTCAGTCAAAGAGGCCACGCCCCTAATAATGAAAGCTTTAATCCAGGTGCGTAATAACACCTCCTCCAATAAATGATCCACAGACACCAAACACGTTTGTTTCTGCCGTAAAGTTTTACATGGAAGTCTATGGGGCTGACTCACTGCTGCCTCTGCTGGACGGTGGAGGAACTGCAGGTGTTGGTTGACAGGTGTGTGTGACAGTGTAAGACGGTCTCAGCAGTGTAAAGGAGCATCAAACAGATGACTGTATCCTGGAATGCTGTTTCTAAACTGCACCATGAACATCCAGATGTTTCCAGGGATCAGTGTGTGCAGCTGGCTTCAGCAGACAGAGCTACAGTAACACACATCGTTAAAAAGAGCGTTACCTGTGAAAGTGTTTGAACCTGAAGCAGACAATTTGTGTTTGTGTGTCTAACTGGACCCGGATGATGTTTTATCAAAAACTAGCTGAGAGCAACTTTCTTCTTCGTTGGTACTGTAGAACAAAAAGCAGCGATCAACAAACAACCTGCACAGACATGAAAAAGAAAGACTCTCTTTCTTTCCTCAGACTCTCCTCACCTGTGTGTCTGTGAGCCCACCTGCCCACTCCCACACATCCCACGGAGCCATGTCTGTCTGT